TTGATCCAAGAAAATTTATTTAAGTCAAGAAAATCTTGTTGTTTTGAGAAAATTCAGCCTCTTGCTCCAAAAAATTTAGTTCTTGATAGAAGTAAATTTTCTTGTCTTGAGAAAATTTCTCTCTTGCTCCGAAAAATTAAATATGAAGATAGAAGTAAATTTTCATTAATATTTTTATTGATTAACATGTCAAATGAGAAGATCAAATAATATTTAATCTTTTTTTTTTCATTCAATATGTTTAATTGCACGCTAAAATAATATAAAATTGGTATCAAATATTCAAGAGAAAAATTTTCTCAAGGTAAGAAAGTTTTTTTCTCTGCTGAAGTAGGTGGTGCTTTCCTAAAGTATCTAAAAATCTTAATCAAATATAAAAATTTATTGTATCAAGTATTTATGATAATTTGAATTAAGAAAAAAATTACTTTCACCTAGAATATAATTTCAAGAAAAATTTTTACTTCGGCCAACACAACTTCGGTTTTCTTTCAGGCACCCGAAAATTTTCTTGAGCCAAGAACTTTGTTCTCCAATCAAGAAACTTTTCTTTCTGTGTAATTGTTCGACTTTACCTTTGTACTCGCTTATTAACAAGCTTTTTTTGTATTATAATAACTCTTTTCTATTATATTTTCTCTTATCTATGCATGTGTTTTATTATTCTAAGGCAATTGAGAAGAACTGGAAGATGCATGGCCTTACACCTCTATCCAAATCCTCTTTCAAGGCTCGGTGCTTAAAAAAATTGATAATGGCTCTTCCTTTAGCTTCTCCAGAAGACATACCAACTTTGTTCCTTATTATTGTGCTCCTTATCCCACCACCTATGTTCTTAAAATTAAATGATTTTATGGCTTATGTTTTTAAGCAATGGCTAGCAATAATAGGGCCAGAAAATCTCTCAGTTGCGGGTAAGGATTCTTTACGAACCAACAATCCCTCAGAATCGATAAACAAGTCAATCAATAAGTTATTGGGATTAAAAAAAAAATTGTCGCCCATTTTTTTTACTCGTAAGTATTGATTTTATAAGTGAATAACCTATTTATTAAAAAAAATCTATCATATAATTACGGTTATTAACAATTTAATTAACAATTTTTTACATTTTTACAATTTACAATTTTTACAATTTAACTTACAATTTTTTACATTTTTATAATTTACAATATTTACAATTTAATACAAATTGTTTTTAGGCGCACTTATTCAATTTCAAATTAAAAGTCAAACTCGGGTGATTTCTATGTTGAAAATGAAAAATGTTCACTTTGAAAAAAAATTATCATCGACTGAGCGGGTTAATAAATTACAACAAAATTGGGTAGAAGTAAAAAATGGAGGAATTACAGTTCCTACATTTTTTGAAAATGTTGGCCAGCTCATTGGACAAGACACAGCTGTTGAAGGTATTTATTTATTTATTTATTTATTTATTTATTTATTTATTTATTCAAGTCAAGAAAATCTTGTTGTTTTCAGAAAATTTAGCCTTTTGCTCCAAAAAATTTAGTTCTTGATAGAAATAAATTTTCTTGTCTTGAGAAAATTTCTTTTTTGCTCCAAATAATTAAATATCTCGATAAAAGTTAATTTTCATTAAAATTTTTCTTGATTAACATGTCAAATGGGAAGATCTAATAATATTTCATCATTTTTTTTCATCCAATATGTATTATTGCACGCTAAAATAATATAAAATTGGTATCAAATATTCAAGAGAAAAATTTTCTCAAGATGAGAAAATTTTTTTCTCAGCTGAAGTAGGTGACGCTGCTTCCCTAAAGTATTTAAAACTCTTAATCATATATAAAAATTTGTTGTATCAAGTATTTATGATAATTTGAATTAAGAAAAAATTACTTCTATCAAGAATATAATTTCAAGAAAAATTTTTACTTCCGCCAACACAACTTCGGTCTTTCTTCAGACACCCAACAAATTTTCTTGAGCCAAAAATTGTTTTCGCCAGTCAAGCAATGTTTTTTTCCGTGTACAGATCCGAAATTGTTGAAGCCACGGAAAATGAAAGAGTTTGTCTTTTGGGGCACCATCAACGGAACTACCAATCACACCAACTATTATGGATTAAATGCTGTTTCTGAAGCTGATGCAGACAAGCTTATGAAAATTGCCGACGAAAATTTTGCCAGTGTTGAACAGCCAGTTTACGACTGGCCTTTTCAATTTTCCGTGCCTTACACGCTAATTGAAGGATCTGTATGATTTGTACATTAATAATCCAGTTTATCATTAAATAAAACCTAATTTTTTAATAATTAAATTTTGAAATTTTATTATTTTTAGTAGATTTTATAGAAATCTAACTGTTTCATTGGTTCTCATAACGGAACTTTCAAGAAATTTTGCTGTATTCTGCCAGGATTTAAAAATTTTAAAAATTATAAAAATTTATATTTTTTCACTTTCTAACACGAATAACTTAAAAATGAAATAACTTATTGAATCTCTGTAAATTGCATCTGAAAGCTCTACATTAACTTTAATTTTAGTACCATATCATATGTGTAGTCTTAAAATTATTTAGAAATGCCAGGATTTTAAAATTTTCAAAATTATAAAAATTCATATTTTTTCACTTTCACACCCAAATAACTTTGAAATTAAGTAACTTATAAAATATCTCTAAATTGCATCTGAAAGCTCTTTAAATAAACTTCAACTCGAGTACCATATCATATGGGTAGTTCTAAAATTAAGTCCTATTCTGCAGTAGCAAAATAACTTTACTAGTTATATTGATTATTAAATTTTATTAATTTTGAAAAATTAACTGTAGATACACTGGGCAATTTAGAGCATTCACAATGCCCAGAATTTAAAAATCTAAATAAAATTAATACACTGGGTAATTTGGAGCATTCAAATTGCCCAGAATTTAAAAATCTTAATAAATTTAAGACACTGGGTAATTTGGAGCATTCATATTGCCCGGAATTTAAAAATCCTAATAAAATTAAGACACTGGGTAATTTGGAGCATTCATATTGCCCGGAATTTAAAAATCCTAATAAAATTAAGACACTGGCTAATTTGGAGCATTCATATTGCCCGAAATTTAAAAATCCTAATAAAATTAAGACACTGGCTAATTTGGAGCATTCATATTGCCCGAAATTTAAAAATCCTAATAAAATTAAGACACTGGCTAATTTGGAGCATTCATATTGCCCGAAATTTAATAAGCCTTGGGCCTGTGGCGGAGAAAATACCGGGTTCGATTCCTCGGTGACACGGAATTATTTTTTCGGTGAACTAAACCTCTTTTTCATTTGAGCGATAGAAATTTACGATGTTGCAACGTATAAATTACAATGTTTGAGTTCTGGTCTGGCACTACAATGTTCTATACTAAAAATTACTATGTTTCCATTGTAATTTTTCGTACAATTTTATTTCCGTGTAACCTAGCTGCATTTTAATAATTATGTCTTATAAGTCATATAAACTAAAATAAGAAAAAACCAAAAAATTAAATCAGTCTCAAAGATTATATTGGTTGTATGTTTTTTAGCAATTTCTTTATAGTCAAGCTTATTTACTTAAATATGTGATGACTCCTGAGATAAGGCAGTTTTACGCACGAACTCTACCTGTTTATTTATCATTTATTTTTTAATGATTAAATTCAAAAATAAAAGAATCAATTCACGAAGGACTTCTATTTACGTACTCCTACAAAGTTTCATGATTTTTCATTCGGTCAAAAAGTGTTCCAGCATCATATGTTCAAAATTTGAATATTCACCTGTTCTACCTGTCCTACATGTTCTTAAATAAAAAAAAATAACTTCAGTATACATCCGGAAGTACGAGCTTGCTCTTGATTCAGATTCCGTAATGAAATTCAAGTTCAATTTTAAAAAATCACTACTCATAGGAAAAAATATCCAAATTGTAATGAGAAAAATTATTCATAATTCTTAGTTAATACTTCACCAAAAGACATGTGTTAATTATATTAGAGACAGTCTAGTTTGATAAATTTTGAAATAAATACATGCAGTTACCAAAAAAGTTTTCGAAAAGTTGCGTTGAAACTATCTTCGTTTAAATTTTCTTTTGTGCAAGTATTTAAAGCTCAATAACTTTTTACTCCTTAAGATTACGAAAAACTACCTCAGTACTTTTTTGTAGAGAATCAAATTTCCTACCAGAATAATTGACGAAAAATAAAAAAAAAAATTTTTTCGTAGTTTTACCAGATGAAAACGTAAATAAAATTTTTTTACGTGTTATTTAAATGGGAAAATAAAAATTCATTGAGCTTCATACAGAATTGAGATATCAAGCTGCGCTTTGAAGGGAATTTTTTTTATGCCTTAGAGAAGCTTTTAAGATGATAGGCAAAAAACTTTTTTTTTTGGACCACTCTATTATATATATATGTATGCATATATTAGGGTGGCGCAAAAAAACCGACTATATTTTTTTTTGAGTCTCGAGTGAAAAAATGTTAGTTTTTAATGTTTTAAGAGCTCTCTCCAAAGAACAGCCCAAAAAAAAATTTTTAAGAGGTCGCTCAAAATTTTTTTAAATTTCAAAAATCGTCAAAAATCGAAATTTTTTTTTTTTTAATTTTTTTTCTCGTTACGTCATAATTTTATAGACCAAAAACATAATTTTTTTTTAATTTAATAATTGTACAAAGAAAATGTATCATTATATTTAATTGTTTTTTTTCTGAGTTCGTAATATTCCGTAAATTTATCTGAACGCCTCATTTCTTTGCCAAATTCCTACTATAGCCCCGATGATTTACAATTACAGTCGAAACCGGATATAACGACATTGAAGGGACCGTATACTTCGGACGTTATGTCCGATAGTTGTTATAAGCAATATACACATATTGTACACAAATTATACACAAATTATACACATATTATACACACAAGTACATAGTCATAATAATAAGTTTATTAATGAAAAAAATAAAGTAACTACAATACAGTTTACAGAATTCACTTAGTTTTTAAAATAATCGGTCATTTTAGTCTGTTTTTTTGTAAGCTGAGTTTCAAAAATATTTTGGATTTTACGTTTCATTGTTGTCAAGGTATCATCAGTACTTAACTTGTCATCAAAGGCAACAAATTTTTGTAAAACTGTTATAGCGTTAAGAGCTTCGTATATTGTTGTTGGTTGAAACTGTTCTAGATGGTCTTGCTGGTCTTCATTTTCTTCGTCAGCGTTACGATTGTTACTTTCAGCTTCTGCAAGAATATCTTCCTCAGTAGCTAAGGCGCACACGGCAACATTGTCATCTATTCCAATAAAATCCTCTATTTCAAACCTTGGTTCTGTAGCAGTAGATCTGTGCAACTGAGCAACCAACTGAGCTAGTGGTACGTTGTTATCTTCATCTGTAGGAGATTGTATCATTCTCGCTAGCGAAACATCATCATCGTCCACTCCATACGATAAAGAAAGATCTTTAAAACCTGCATGACGAAAGCAGTTGGCTATAGTGGTCTGTTTGACGTTTTCCCAAGCTTCCGATATCATTAGAATTGCATCTAGAACGCTAAGACTTTTTTTACCTTCGCTGGTTTCAATATTTTGAAGCATTTGTAGTACTTGAAGCTTTCTGTACTGTGATTTTAAAGATTTTATGACTCCTTGATCCATGGGCTGTAAAACAGAGGTGACATTGGGCGGTAAAAACACAAGTTTTATGCATTTTAGATTAGAGACTACAGGGTGAGCGGGACAATTGTCTACTAGAAGAAGAATTTTTTTTCCTCCAGATTTCAATTCTGCATCCCAGGACCGCAGCCATTTTTCAAAAATTAGCGATGTCATCCAGGACCTAGTGTTGTTTTCATATGTTACAGGCAACGAGTGAATGTTCTTAAAACAACGTGGTTTTTTAGCTTTTCCTATCACTAAAAGTTTTTTTTTACACGATCCAGTCATATTCGCAGCAACCAATACTGTAATTCTTGTTTTAGATAACTTTCCACCCTTGCATTGCTCACCTTTGAATTTGAGTGTCTTGTCAGGAGTTAAATTATAAAACAATCCAGTTTCATCCGCATTAAAGATTTCTTCTGGTTTGTATCCTTCGCAGATTGCAGGCCACTTGTGAGAAAGCCACTCTTCAGTCACACCTTCAGGAACGCCAGCCGCCTCCCCGCAAACTTTTCCTGACACAATATTATGACGAGCACGGAAACGTTGCACCCAAGACGACGAGCACTCAAAATTTTCCTTCCCCATAAGACGAGCGAAATCGTTAGCTTTTTGTTGCAGGATCGGACCACTTATTGGAACATTATTTGCCCTCTGATGTTTAAACCAAGTTAATAAAGCCTCTTCCATAACTTGATGTTCAGATGTCCTCAATCGTTTAATTTTCAAAGAGTTGTTCTCGAAAAGAGCTTTTATTTTATCTCTATCCTTCCAAATCGTTGATATCGTAGAGTGTGAGACTTCACATTCTTTTGCAATTTCACTATTTGACTCGCCATTTTGTAATCTCCATATAATATGTGATTTTTCTTCAATACTAAAGCCTTTCCTTTTTTTTTTTTGCGACATAGTAACGCGTAAACACAAAATCTAATACAAAAGTTTTAAAATCAACCTGTAATTCACGCGGTCAACTATCGCACTGAATAAGTTGTAAAACATGCAAGGTCAAATGGCAAAGTGTGGGAAATCGGTTCGGATAAGGTAGAAGAATAATCCTTCTTAGGCTTAATAATAAGCCGATAGCAAAATATTCTTTCATATCATATTATTTGTATAAAGCTGAAAATTGTTCGCAATGTTTTGTTTTGCTGGAATAGGTAAACGTTTGGTCGTTATAAACGATGAATATCGATAAAGTTTCGTCATTTAAACGTCGTTTTAAGCGATATGTCGCTGTATCCGATGTCGTCATAGGCGGTATGTGTACTTATTAGTTGATATAGAGATTCGGCCGGGACCTTGCCATTCGGTTGTTATAACCGATCTGTCGTTATAAACGATGTCGTTATATTCGGTTTCGACTGTACTAAAAGATCTGGTTCAATTTAAAGAACAAAATCAAAAGTTACGTTCAGCAGCACTAAAAAGTTTCTTCTCGACATTTATAGTACATTAGTGACTATTTAAAAGGAGGTCCTTTC